GGACGAGCAGGTAGGTGCAAGAAATGAATGAATTGATGAGTAAAAATGAACGTGTGAGTGAATAATAAGTGAATGAATGAGTGAATGATTTGAAAAACGAATTAATTTATCGGTAAAAGAATGCAAATGAACTTATAAATGAACGAGTAAATTAATAAATGAGTAGAGGAATGAATGGATGGATGGACGAAACTGATGAAACGTCTTCACAGTTTGAAGTTCTAAATAATTTTATAAAAATATCTATAAACAATTACAATAGTTACAATTATAACTCGATGAAAATTCACAATTTGCTCAAGTTGGCTTTTGATTCAGTTGTTGTGCACGCGCGCACACACATACACACACGCACACATGAACAATTTGATTAAATGTATAAATACAAAATTGTAAAACATACACTGACAGAATGAGTAGTAAGAAAAGTATATATATATATATATATATATATATATATATATATATATACATGCATAGCAAAAGGTTAGTTTGATGGATGGAATGGATCAGTTTGTTACATGTTTAAACACATACAAGCAAAAATTAATTAAGCTGGTTTGTTCCGCTGAATGATTGATTGATTGATTGATTGATTGAATGATTGATTGATTGATTGATTGATTGATTGATTGATTGATTGATTGATTGATTGATTGATTGATTGATTGATTGATTGATTGATTGATTGATTGATTGGATGCTGGATGAACGACTACATGAGTGAATTTTGAATGTACGGGCAGTACAGATGAAAGTTATAGGACGAAAAATGAAGGGATGAATGGATGGGTGAATGAATTGGCGAGTGAGTGAATGAATGAATGAATGCGTGCAGTTTATATTTAGAACTTAATATAAAGTTTCAGCCTGAAATGAGATTTTGAAAGACGAACGCATATGGTGTATTTTAGAATCTTTTTTGCTTCAGAAACGCGCATATAAATTGTAAAGACGATGACGTAGATGATGGTGACGTGTGAGTGATTGTAAAGGTTTTGGCCGTCAGCGATGATGAAGATGGATGTACGTGGTTGATGATGATGATGACCTGATGATAATCACTGCTTCTTCTCCTCTTCATCATAATACTCTTCTTCGTCTTCCTCTGTATTTTTATTATTATTTTTATTATTATTATTGTTATTATTCTTGTTGTTGTTGTTGTTACTACTCTTATTATTGTTGTTGTCGTTTTTACTTTTATTATTATTTTTATTATTATTTTCGCCATCTTCTTGCCCCTCTTCCTCCTCTTCATAATATTCAGCATTATTCATTGAGTTAATATCGACCAGGGCCTGCCTATTTCCATCCCCATCTGAGGGGGGTACCGTTGGAGGGGAGGGCCTGCCGCGTGGTCCCCAGACCCAGGACTGCCTAGTGAGGCCCTTACATTGTTCCATTGTCAGTTTCGTTTTGTCGTCTGACAGGCTAAGGCACAATCTCGTTCCCTTGTGCAGTATTTGGCCCTGTCAGGGAGAAATTATTCATTTTATTTTAAATGAATGAATGAGTGAATGAATGAGTGAGTGACTGAACGAATAAACAAATGCCTGACTGACTGACCGACTGAATGAATGAATGAGTTAATGAACGAATGAATGAGTGTATGAACGAACGAACGAACGAATGAGTGAAAAAACGAATAAATATATTAAAAAACAAATGAAAAATTTA